TAAGTCAACTTTTACTCAGCACTCCACTCCCTTCTTGGATATCTTTTTATTCAGCTGCTCGCTTCTAGGTACGCTACTGCCAAATAGTCCACAGAATCCTTATGTTTTGCGAGATATTTATTGAACCCACACCTTTGTTCCTGGGTTGTTTGAATTGATGGGAGATCATAAGAGTAAAGGTAGCCTTGTGATTGGTGGGGTTGCTGATGCCGAAGGTTCCAGCTGTTAATTGGCCAATCAAATACCGCGTACCGCCTTTTTAGTGTTCTGGATTTAAGCGGAATCGTCGTTCGTAATCCATATTTCTAGTACATGGACTCCCTTTTCACCGAAACCGATTGCATCTTTTGTTAACACCATGTCCGAACAAGGCTCTTCAAACTATATAAAGTTGGGAAGTTATGAGTACAATCCTGCCGACATTCTTGGAAGTGGCGCTTTCGCCATAGTTTATAAAGGTCGATTTAGCGATGTAAATGTTTTTTTAAAATCTAACACCTGTAGAATCATGATCAGAAGGTTGCAATAAAGCAAATGATCAAAGGTCAGAATGTTTTGAAGTCGAAAACTCTCCTCAGCAAGGAGATTTCTGTCCTGAGGGTTTGTGTTAGATTACACCTGAAACATGGCTTTAGGATCTCAATCATGAGCACATTGTTCGCCTCTATGATCACAGCGTAGTGAAATTTATCATGCCTTAATTTCTGTCCTATAGATTTCTAATACTGGAGTCTACCTTGTCATAGAATTCTGCAACGGTGGCGACCTATCCGAATATTTGCATAGTACGTTTTACTACCCTTTGTTTACTACTTCTCAGTCAAAAAGACCCTTCCAGAAGAAACAATCCGGCATTTTCTAATCCAAATTGGGTCTGCAATGGACGCCATGAATAAGCGAGCTATTATGCACCGTGATCTGAAACCGGGGAACATTCTATTAAGCTACTATGGCAACTTTTCTTCCGTTGGCGACGTCCCAGGTCATCTGATAACCTTCAAATTGGGTATGTACCATCTAAGTTATGGCCAGAAAGCACTTTCCTACGTTTTTTTACATACAAGTAACTAGCATTTTGAGCATCCATAAGAATCTGACTCGTATCTTCCTCTCCACATAAGTGCTAATACTACAATGTGAATCCATGAGTATCCTCAGAATACTGAGTCAAACAGGGGGTTTCGAGTAGTTTGGCCGACCTTTTGATGCGATATCGTGAAGTAAATTGCATATGACTAAAGTCATTAGCTTTCATTATCTCAATACCATGGTTATTATTAGTTTAGTATTAGTATTAGTGGTCTTTAGTCATATACTGGCTCATTATAGAGTCCATCATTAGCTACCGCTTTAGATGATAGAAGTTACACTTGACCTTAATATGCAATCAAAATACTTAACCTTATTTTTTCAAATACAAGAGTTATGCCTAAACATATTAAGTAGAAGATGCGTACTGTCTGCACTGTTTCGCTGTTGTCTGGTATACACTACGATCTAAATGTCAAACTTCATGGGCTTCCATGCACAAGCCAGTTTATAAAGCTCTATAATTATATTCAGTGCCTTTAACCTTTTCAAATTCATTGTCAGGATACCTCTTTTACATTCAGCTATCAGATATCACATAATTGTCTCACTTTTTACCTTTTCAAATGTAATCTCCTGTCCAGGGGAAAGCCTTAGCATTAACTAGCGTCAGTCATTTAGGGTTGGAGACTACGAAGCTAATTTTAATGCCCTCCGCTCAGACGAATTTTTACCTTCACTTCTCCTAAACAGGCCTTAGCATTTTAGTGAATTATTGGTTCTGGCGGTGACCAGTCCGCACTTGGGTGTCGGTCAGTCGACTATCCTACTAACGTAAGATTACGAAGACATGTCTTTTGTAATGCTTCTCGTAAGCTAATTCGCCAAATTAGTACTGACCTAATAAAGTGATCACTCCATTTCATAATCCACTTCGTAGAAACTGGTGCACATAAATGGATAGTAGTCGCAACCCTCTTAAGCCCTTTTTCTAGACCACATAACAGGAACAATAAGACTTATGTTTTCTAGTTCTTGTTCCTCGGTGTTTGACTATCTTACTGTCGGTAACAGAGGCTCTAAACATTTCATCGATAGTTTCGCACATACACTGTCTCAAAGCGGTGTGTATCATGATGTCCGGTCCATATACCCCACCAGAATTGACACCACGGTCCTGATGGCTGACCGAAGACGGATAAATGTGTTATTTTGAAATGTGAATTTAGGCTCCAATAGTTGTCGCTATATGACTACCGCGACATAAGTCTTATCGACTCCGCTGCGAAGATCTCCGCTATTGTTCTTCTCAGGCGATTCCAATCTGTGCATGACTCTAGGATGTGGTCCAACCAAGCCGGATTCCGCGCTGGACATGGATGTGTGGACCAGATACTCACACTGAGGCGGATCCTTTAATCCTCCTATGGCTACCAACAACCAACTGTCGTCAGCTTTGTTGACCATGCCGCTGCGTTCGACTCCGTCCACCGTGAATCCGTATGGCAGATAATGGCGCTAGACGGTGTACAACCAAAAATAATTGCCATGATCAATGATTACTACCACTCCACCACTGCGTGGATTCTGGTCCATAAGAACCTTTCAAAACCGTTTTCTATTCGGTCTGGCGTTCAACAAGGCTGTGTCCCTTCGCCCATTCTATTTAACTACACCGTCGACTGAGTTCTCGGGAAGGCCTCACGGGAAGAGAATGGTGCTGAGCTTGCATCCAGACGCCGATTAACTGATTTCGATTATGCCGATGATATCGCCTTACTAGCATCAAGCTTTGGCGACCAGCAGTCTATGGTGTCACGGATGAATGAGGTCGCTAAATCAGTTGGTTTGTCCATAAATGCTGGGAAGACCCAAGGATTTTTATGCTGCATCCCTGTCCAAGATTATTGGCTGTCATCTTGAGGAAGTAGACAGTTTCAAATACCTCGGAGCGACGTTGCTGCCGAATAGACAGAGTAAGGACGACTTTGTCTCCTGAATTGATGCATCTCAAGCCTTAGAAAGTGTCGATGGATCCAACACAACATCTCCATCACCACAAAGGTCCACATGTACCGTGCGGTCTATCCTTCTCGACGGCCGATATGCGCGTAAAAGATGAAAACCAAACTGGAAGTATTTGACTAGTGTTTGGGGACGATCCTTCGAGTGAAGTACCTCGATGTCTTCTCAAATAAGGCAGTCCTCACTCGCTGCGACAAAATCGCAAGGATATCCTAGGCCATCCAAGATTGATGACTGAAGTGGTCTGGACACGTTTATCCTCGTTGACCTCCAGAGCTCACTGTTACTGCCCTCGACCCAGAATCTTTAATCAGTTGGTGACGTCAACGAGGGGGTCGGCGCAAAAGCTGGCTCAACTCGCGAAGTGGAAGTGGTTCTTGAACCTTCAGTATTCAATTTCTGGCGCTGTCGAAAATAATGGATTAAACTGTCCAGGTCTACCGCCACGGATCGTCACGCGTGGAAAAGTATTATCAGGGACATCATCGAGGCCGACTAGGTCAGTCACGATCGCAGCTGTAGCAAACAGATGT